TGTTATAAAAAATACCATAAAATTTTTCGAAAATACTGACGATATAATCACTTCTACTAGGAGTCAAACCCGCTGATCCGTTGGTATTTGTCGCTGGGTGAGAAGTCGTTGGCGACAGGCGTGCAGCTGGCACTACCAGCTGTGCTGTTGTTTGAGACTCCCATTCACCAGCTCGACAAGTTCCTCTGCAAATCACTAGATGTCGTTGAGAAGACCGTGCCTTCCATCAATCTACCACCACAAGCTGTAAGTGAACCTAGATATTACACAGATTATTATATAAGTTTACTAGCGACCCGCCCCGGCTTCGCACGGGTGCAATGCTTACGTAAATATACCTACTACAGAATGTGTTATACACAACGTTCACAGCTTTTTTGTCATCATGTATTATGCATATAAAACATCCTTAAGAATCACTCTATCTATTAAAAAAACCGCATCAAAATCCGTTGCGTAGTTTTAAAGATCGAAGCATACATAGGGACAGATAGACGACGGATAGCGACTTTATATACTATATACTAAGTAGTGATAATTAGCAATTTTATTTAGAAAGCGAACATTAATATGATTTATAAATGTCATATCTTCGGAGGTGAGATGTTATTTACTCATGAATGAGGGAAACTTATATTTTGTTTATGATCCCCTATATTATTTTGGGTTTAAACTGTCAAACACCAAGCGGTCACCGGTGACCGCAACCTATTGTTCTATAATTGTGTCTATAAAACCGGTACTCGACGAGTTAATTTAACGATAACTGTATTTGAATTTAAAATCTATAACATATTAAAATAACATAACATCACGCCTTTTATCCCCGAAGGGATAAGCAGTGGTGCACATTACGGTACTTAATGCCACTGTGCAATGTAACACCCACTTTTCACTATTTATGTTATGAGTCCCATGTAATAGGCGGTGAGCCTATTGCCGTATACTGGGTACAATTTCAGTCTTCGTGCTATTTATATTTATTGGGACAACCTCCCAAAATAAGCCCGATATTATATTTTGCCCGACCTGGGAATAGAACCCGAGACCCCTTGCCCAGCAGTGGTGTTCGGGGTTGGGGTGAGTTCAAGATAAACTCTAGGATGTAGAATGAAAGATATATTTCGATACTAATGAGATAACTACTAAGTCTAATGAGGTGAATAAGATGAGATTGAGTAGCGTCCGTATTCACAATCGTACTGAACGTACTGAGCGTTTTTACCTAA